ATGCCAAATTGCACTTCCATAAAAAAAAAACAACCAATCAAAATAAAAGCATCTTGTGGTTTTTAGAAGGTGCCTAAAATACTTCCATTCTGCTATTGCACCAGTTATTGATAAGGAGTTAAAGTTAGGCAATGGCATTTTAGATGGTGTCACACTTGGCAAGGCTCAGATTGTGTTTTCTTGTGTAAGCAGTTGCTGTTCAGCTCATTTTTTCCTGCTAGTAATCTCATGGTGACTTAATTGGTGAATCACACGCCTATGGCAGATGGGCATATCTCCCCTTACTCCTTACTCCCACTTAATGCAAGTCAGAAACTCCACAGTGGACAGTAGTCAGTACACCCACTACTGAGTGATGCTCTGCCAGCCCCCAACCTATTGGAGATGTCTTCAAAGTGTCGGAACGTGGTTCCCTGCGTCATGGAAGATTCACCAAACGCTCTGCTTCAGACTGCCCAGGCCAGAAAGGAGGGCCTCTTCCCCGCTGATGGTTTAAAGGGATCTTCCCATTGAACCCGTTATCTTTTATAGGCCAGAGTGGTCAATACCCCAGAGGACTCTCTAAGGTGTAAATGTGCAAATTCACCAATATGAGACTTTCACCTTAGCTAAAATAAACTCATGGATATAATCTGATAAATACACGCCCGTAGCCAGTGGTGGAAGATACATGTAAGATCAGAGGACTGCCAGAGACCCATGCAGAAAATAAATCATTTATTTATCCATAACTCTCATGTTCAACCTGGAGAAACAAACAGAGGTACATCAAGCAGGAATGTCAGAGAACGTCACTGAAGCAAGATGATGAAAAAGGCTGTCCACCTTCTGTCCACTGTTGTGACTCTGGCATGCAAGCGTTTGGCCATCTCTTTCTTCTGTCGTCATGTCTACTCCAATTCAATGGCAAGGTAAAAAGGAATGAGATACCACAATCTCAAGCCAGGGTGGTGCCAGCAGTGGACAAATGATAGACAAACATCCCATGAGTTTCATCTGAGGAACTCCAGAGTTGATTCATTCCCAAACATCTCCATGAAGCAGAACATGTCAAGAAGGGGGATCTTACATCTGCGTTGGAAACTCTGACCATCCAGGGGCCTTCCAGGTTCCAAGGGAACAGAGAATATCCAAAGTCTTCACAGTCACCATGGCATAAAGATTAGCAGCCGTGTCCACTACCACTGCTGTGGCTGTAAGGTAAATACCTCTACATACTGGAAGGTTAAGGATGGAAAAAAGTCCTTTTGAGGGTTCCTTGATGGTATGGGTGTTTCATTATTGTATATAATTATTACAGGTTTAAATATATAATGCAATTGCCAATTTCTAACATTTGCTATCATCTCATTTCCTCATTAAATGCAGACATGGTTCTCGGAAGTCAAAGCAGCGTAAAACCTCCCCATTACAAAGAAGTGCTTGCTTCTATCGAAACACCTTTTAATATCTCATTGCATCAGCAACATGTGTCTCTTTCATAACCCAGAGAATTAACGATCCTGGCATTGTGGCAGTGCAGTCAAAGCTACATAGTGTATATCCTTGAATACTACCCATCAGTCCAATTAGTTCAAAGACAGGATATTAGATCAAGAACAGCCAGATAGCAGTCCAAACATAGGCAATTCAATCGTTGAATGTTGTGCAGTGAGCTTGATAATCTTTTAGCACAGTGAGATTCAGCTGTTCATTGAGTCATACAAGAACCAATCCCCACTTTATCCCAGCCTCTCACCCTCACTCTTCTCCATCCTCACCAGTTTGCTATACCTGTTAGCCTTGTGATACCATATCCTTTATCTTTCAAACACTGGCAATCATTGTTACTATTGACATCCCCTACATCTAGGTCCTTGCTGCGCATTACACCTCCCCTGATCAAAGCCAAACACAGCCCCAGGTCATTTGAATCAGTCACATCATGACAGCCAATGCTCCATGCTCCCCAAACTCCTGACCACAACATCTAACTCACCCCACCCCCAAGCCCTGTGACCATTCAGGAGTTGGCCTCAGTATAGATAGTGTCCTAGACAGATCTTTAACCACTTGTGGATCAACTACAGGCAAACACCACCCAGTATCCCTCATGCCACTGGACAGATTAAAGTACCCCCACCCTGTCAGACTAACTAGAATACACGCCCCTGCAAGTTTTTGCCTCCAATGGACCAGCTCCCCTCCCTGCCGCACCAAATCCTGGACAGATGGAATGACCATGTGCCAGTTGGGTTTGGAAATAGCCCAGGGAGACTGCATGCTTGGGTCTGAACGGACACACTGTACTTGAAGAAGTAATAGTACAAGCGATTGTAAGCATAATTTAAAATCATGTTGCTCTAAGAATGGAGCAGCAAAGGACGTGCCTAGAGGTGGATGAAGAAATGCAACATTAAGTACGAGCTGGATTTTTGCTGTCGGTTTTCCAAACAATCAAATTTCCTGATTGGGAAGGCAAAGTTAATTACAGTGAAATTTTGTTTTAATGAGATGCAAGTGCACACGGTTTTGTTTGTAACATTGTCAACACACCACCTAAAGAGGACAACTTAATCACTGAAGTTTGGCACAATAATGAAAATCTGATTTTATCCGCTCTTCCAATTAAATTCATCTGCCTGACATTTACCACACTGTTGTAGGTGCTGAAAAAAAAATCACACTCACACATTAAAATAAACAATGTATTTTCTGAAATTTTATAGATCGAATTCCTGATCTTCAGTATTCTTTCACAGACGTATTTCTCAGTATTTGAAATTGTATTGGTTTATATGTGTTACCAGCCTGTAAAATTTACTGTCATTCTATTTCCAAATATTATGAAAGCTGACAACTTTACCATCTATTATTAGAAATGTTTGATGGGGATGTTCACAATGTGTTCAATGTTTAGACCCACGCTGAGATTTCAAAGCTAACGAAACAGTCCATACCCACATGCAGAAAAATGACCTGGACAACTTTCGGTATGCATAAGTTAGCATTTATGCTTCACAAGTGGAACACTTTAGCAAGATATTTTGATTCTCTCTCTTCTTGACATTCAATGACTTTACAATTTCTGAATAGTCCAATATCAATAAGCTGGTGTGCCACCATTGTCCTGAAATGAAACTGGACCAGCCATATAAATATTGTAGCTGCAAGAACAGGTCAAAGTCTGGCTATTACGTGGCAAGAATCTCACTTCCTAACTCCACATAAACTGTCGACAAAGTACATAACAACAGTTTGATTTTTAAAAATCAAACAAGGGACATGGGTATTGCTGGTTGGTCATTTATTGCCCATACCTTATTCAACTACTGCAATCTGTTTTATGCAGGTAGATCCACAATGTCATTAAGGAGGGAGTTCCAGGATTTTGACCCAAAGACACAGAAGGAACAGCAATATATCTCCAAGTCAGCATAGTTAGTGGCTTGGAAGTTAGCTTGCCCGTGGTGATATTCCCATGTCCTTCTAGATCGTATTGGTCGTGGGTTTGGAAGGTGCTGTCAAAGGATCATTGGTTTCTGCAGTACAGCTTGCAGATGGTATACACTGCTGCTACTGGCCGTTGTTGATGGAAGGACTGAACATTTGTGGATGTGGTGCCAAATCAAGCAGGTTGCTTCGTCCTGAATGGTGTCAAGCTATAGAGTGTTGTTGGAGTTACACTCATCCAAGCAAATGGGGAGTATTTAATCACACTCCTGACTTGTACCTTGCAGATAATGGACAGACTTTGGGGAGAAAGGAGCTGAGTTACTTACTGCAGGTTTCCTAGCATCTGACCTACTCTTGTAGCCATTGTATTCACATGGCTAGTGCAGTTCAGATTCTTGCCAATGGTAACTCCAGGATAATGATAACTTGGTTAAATACTCCGCTATTGCCTGTAGAATTACTTCTCCAAGAATATTAAAAAAAATTCAGTACCCTCCAGAACACTACCCCCTATTTGATTGGCACCATATTCACAGCTTAAAACATAAGAGTCGTTTCAAAATTGATTTACAGAGGCTGTATTGTGTACCATCCTAAAGATGAACTATAGCAATTCACCAATTTTTCTTCAACATTACCCCAATCTGATCTACTTCTTTGGATGATGAGGAAGCAAATATATGCAAATATCACCACCTTCTAGTTATGAACTTGTGGGAGAGCCAACAAATAAAATAACAAAATTTATTGAATGTACACCCCAGATTTAGAAGTTGCAACAGGTTTTCATTTAATTGTAACTTTTACTTTTGATGCAGGTCAGAATCAACACAAGATAAACATGAATTAACAAGCAGGTGATGTTTTAAATTTAAAGTTAATTTCACTTTCAATACCTGCACAATATTCATCTACAAAACCTCAAACACACAGATCACTCCCTGCACACAAGGTATCACATCCAATAATTTCTGCAACACTGCCTTCCATACATTGGATCTCTTACTTTTTCACTCAAAACAGCTCATGTTACATTCACGTACAGTCGTATTCCATCCAATGTCACCATAAACAGATAATACCAACAAGCTGCACATCCACAAACCCTCTCTCACTTCTGTCATACCAGTAATAACTTTCCAAGAATTGCTTTCAACCAAAGACCCAAAAATACCCAGTTTAAGATCTGCTCCTATGATGCTGCTTGGCCTGCTGTGTTCATCCAGCCCTGCACCTTGTTGTCTCGGATTCTCCAGCATCTGCAGTTCCTACTATCTCTGATTCCAGTTTAAGATCCAGTCTGTTTCAAACTCTTAGCTGATTTGTATGCCTTAGCCATTTGTACTACTCTGACAATTCAGGCCCTTTTAACTTGATCATTTATATATCTTTCCCACCACCCCCAAGGCCCTCTAGAATTCTATTTATTACCAAACAGAAAACCTGGCCTTTTCAAAGCAAGGATATAGCAAGCTTTGTTAGCTTCACACAAGAATTCTATGTTGACCTTTCTGTTTCTGTATACTTTCTCTTTGTATCTACATATGTATGAAAACAACCCTTACCTTCCAATCCCTCTGATTTACAGCTCTCTACCTTTGATCACACAGCTTCTACATCTTAATTATCTTATTATTGGTACTGTTCCAGGTCAAGGGTTAACAGATCACATGGATTAGTATTTCTTATTATTGAAGATAATTACATTTGACCTCCTAATGAAAACTACTAAAAGGCCTTTACAAATATTTTAAAATCAACTACAGAATATTAAATTAATTACATATCTTTCTTATGACTGCTTCCAGGTCAAAAGTCATCACAAAGTTTTCCTTCAAAATTCACACCTACTTGACTTGGAGCTATATTGTCATTTGTTCATTGTCATTGGATTTGAAATCATAGAACTCCCTCCTTAAAAGAACTGTAGAAGTACATTTACAAGAGGAAATGCAATTATCTAAGAAAGGGCTAACCATCAAGTTCTCTGGGCTTTTCTGTCTGCCTGAAGTTAATAACTGACTTGTAATTATTTCAGAAATCATGGCTATATCTTTTAAAAATTAGTTTTTGAAGCAAGGCTGTACAGTGATGGATTCTGTATACAAATGCACTATTGTTCAGATTGTTTGTGAATTAACATGGTGAGTAACAGGAACAGAGATTTGTTAGAAAGGTATGGAATCTATCTTCTTTAAGCTTAAGGGCAGCACCCATAGCTAAGTAAGAAAGTAAGATTAGTTTCACATTAAATTTTGGGTAGTGTTAGTGCTGTGGAAACTATGAAACACGATGGTGGCAGTGCTCATGAGAAACGAATGATTGATTTAGTGAAATAGATTACTTTGGAATGAAAAGTTAATGTTGATCCCAGAACAGATGTGTTGATATAAAACCCTGAAGTGTTTGTTTGAAGCTGAGTGCATTGAAACTGAAGTGTGTGATGGCTGCAAGGAGAATCTATCTGCAGTTCCAGTTTAAAAGTTGAAGTCATAAGTGAATTAAACTTACCAAAGTGGTAGCTCCAGAAATTTTGGTGTGAGTATTGTATGAGTGGTATTTTGGGAACTGTGCCAGAGTGGTGTTATAGTACTACACAAGATGTTTTGTTTCTTTTCAACTTCTCAAGGACTGTTCTGGATTATACTTTTACAGTGTGTTTAAAATCATTCAGTTTGTATTATTAATGGATGGTCTGAATTATTTCATTTCATTTTTGTTCATTTTGTAATAAATTGCTTTTTTTTTTATTGAGGCAAAATCTGCAACATTGCATGTTTAAGAGTGAGAGACCATTGTGTTAAAACAGAAATAAATAGAATTATAATGTATCAGGCCAGGCTCCTGACTGGGATCTTTGTTTACTTCATAGAAAGCTCCCTCTTCTCACCCTTCAGTCATACTTCCAACAGGCACATGGACATGATGGTTTGATGGTGTCCTCTAATTTTCTGCCTTCCTGATTTTACAGGACCGGCCAGAGGACACTCACTAGCAGGTAGATGCAAACACCAGTACTGCACCTGCCTGCTTCATGTCCAGAGAATATGAATTGATTGGTTGGCCCCACACATTCCTCACTTTTACCTCCCTCTCCATTCGCACCTTAATGCATTGCCCTCAATCACTTCAGCATGAGTAGCAATTGAGGTTAAAAAAAATGTTCTGAAGTCTGTTGAGGCCAAGACCCCTTGCTAGTCGTAGGCTTGTTGAAGTAGGTTTACCTCTGCTTCCTTTGGGTATTGTAAAGAAAATCCTGCATTTAAACAGGGCCTTTCACAACCTTTAGCTGTCCCCAAGTGCATTACAACTAATGATGAACTTATGAAGTATCATCAATGTTTTATGTATATGGCAAATGTGGCAGTCATTAGTTGGCCGCAATGGGCTAAATTGATACTAAATTTGTTTGATATTTCATACTGAGTTCTGAATTATTCTAGTCATGACTCTAATTTGAGAAAACCTGAAATTTATAATATGCAATCTCTTTTAAAACCAAAGCAATGTTGAGTAATTGCATTATCCAAGTGTTTGCCTCTTGATTAATTGATTAATTAGGTAGTTCAAACTGATATTGCTATCTTTCTGAAAACTGTTGAACAAACAACCCATTTTCACCCCACTCCACGTTAGTCAAATTTCAGTTTCACATCTATTGAGTTTTATCACTCTATGAATTTAGGAAGCATTTTTAATGTGAAAAAACAGACACTATAAATTTCTCTCATTTGGGCCATTCTCTTAGTGACTCTCGGGCTTAGGTTTTCATCATGTCAGAGAGATTCTATGGCATGATAATAAAGCAGAAATAGTCTAAAATTGCAAGTTATAACTTTGAAGGTGGTACTTTACAATTCCTTAGGGCCAAGAATGGAGTTACTTCAGGCATCATGTATGTGCAGTTCCTGAAGATGGCTGGTATTTTAATGGTCAGCTGTCTCTATTTTTAAATCCAATTTTGGTATCCTTGTTAAGTGGAGCCAACAATGCAACAGGCAGATCAGCCACGACGGGTACAGATGTCCTTTGAGGACTGGTGGGGATGGGAAATTATCTCCATACTTAGCGAAAATTTGTAGCTTGCGTTGTGGATGCAGTTGTTTGCTTGCCGAGTTGGTTGTTCTGTGGTGTGCAGACATTTTGTTACCAATCTAGGTAACATCATCAGTGCGAGCTCTAATCGAAGCATTGGTGTTCTGCTCCGTTCCAAATTTATATGATCCTATGGTGTGGTGGGTCTTGTCATTTCCAGTTCCGTTTTTAGCAGCGGTCTGTATACGAAGTCTATTTCTATGTGTTTGTCCATGGAGTCCCATGTTGAGAACCAGGCCTCCAGAAATTCCCTTGCATGTCTGTTGTTCGCTTGATCCAGTACAGTCACTTTGTTCCAGTCGAACTGATGGCCCACATTGTCTGTGTATATCGAGACAAGTGGATGTTGGTCGTGTCTTTTTACTGCCACCTGGTGTTCGTGTATTCTGGTCGTCAGTTTCCTCCCCATTTGTCTGATGTAATGTTTATTGCACTCGCTGCATGGGATTCTGTATGTCACATTAGCCCTATTTACCAACCCCTGTTGGTATGAGGTCTTTAGTCTTTGAAAGCATTTGATGTAGGTTTGCGTGCTATCGTGATATTATGTGGTCTGCTAGTTGAATTGGTATGGTAGGTGAAGGGAAGAACGATGTGGGTGGAAGTTGGCAGTAAATTGGCATTTTGTGTATGTGTAGCAGCAATGGTTGGTATGGATGGTACATGGAGAATGTAATGGTGGGAGGGGCAGTCAGGGGATTGTGAGGGGTTGGGGATAGTTTTAATATCTTTTTTCTTAATTTTAATTTTTGGACACAGTGCCCAGAAGGAGGATTATCCATGCAGCCTGTCTCAGCAACTGAACCCTATTCAGCTCTCACCAGGTCACCTGGCCAGGCTTCCAAGTGTACCTTGACCGAAAATGGGGGGAATGAGGAGGTAACCATTGTAAGCATCTTGGATGACATTCACCATGAAAAAAAATAAGGAACAAATGTTAAAGGGTAATGCTTTTTCTCTGAAAGTGACGTATCCATTGATAAAGATTTTATTTGCGCTGTCACTCACGTAGCGTAACTCAGGCCTAATATTCATGTAGTCGACTTCATCTACACATAAGTTCCATTGATGTCCGCTTTCTGTCTCACTGTCTATTCAGCTATGGCAGATACATTGCCCATATAATGTGCCATAAAATCATTGGCAGGTAGCTGTTTCTCTTCAAAGATAAGGTGGCCCATAACCTCTGAAAGAACCAGAGAAGAGTAAGTTACCCACAGAGACTCCATCCATAGGCTGATCAAGGAGCTTGTGCTCCAAGTTAAGAAACAACAGAATTTGTGATCTACTGCCACTGAGGTCAAAGGTGATGGCCTTATCCTCTCCTTAACTTCCTCCTCAAAATTACTCTGAGTATGGAAAATGTGGAAGCTTTATTTTGACTTTGGATCTCCTGCTTTCCTTATCGACTCTCTCCAATCGTCAGCTACATTTGTATTTTCAGATAGATCCTCTGCCTGGACAACCACAGCACACCAAAGAGCCAATGAAAGAGAAATCCCACTCCAGCAATGAAGGGATACCTTTTTTACACGATCTGACGCACAAAGTTGGGATCCACACATAATGGGTCACCAGGCATGAGTGAGCTGCAGCCAGGACAGAGGAAAAGGACCGCTCATGTACCTAGTCTTTGGAGGGCAAGGTCACATGAAATCTGCTGGAGGGATTACAAATGAGATCTTCAATTGACCAATGTACAAGAGAAAGTTGATGGGGAGGTAATGGCCTAGTAGTATTGCTGGACTGTTAATCCAGAGACCCAGATAATGTTCGGGAGACCCGTGGCAGATGGTGGAATTTGAATTCACTATATCTGGAATTAAGAGTCTAATGATGACCATGAATCCATTGTCAATTGTTGGGAAAAAACCCATCTGGTTCACTAATGTTCTTTGGGGAAGGAAACTGCTATCCTTACCTGGTCTGACCAACATGTGACTCCAGACCCACAGCAATGTGGTTGACTCTTAACTGCCCTCTGGGCAATTAGGGATGGGCAATAAATACTGCCTAACCAGCGATGCCCTCATCCCGTGAATGAATGACAAAAAAAATGTCACTGAGATATTTGTTGCATTGGCAGGCCTGCCACAGAATCTTCAATTATTGTGAAAGAACAAACTAATTCCAGTAGACGTCCATTCTTTCCAGTGTGGAAACGATGGTCAAATCATGATAGCAATAGAAGGCTCCTCTGTGGTGGATCCTCTGATGGTCATTGCCTCAGTTTTCACTGCAGGACGGGCACAGACCACCTTACGTGTCAGCGCTGCAGTGGAACTGCAGGCAGAAACAATGAGATCTGTACTTGTTGTCGTGCAAACCAAATTTGGTCAGATTTCTGGTATCAAGGCTGTGAATCACAGTACTCGAAGATTTTGACATCAGTTCAGCAACCCGTCCTTGGTTATCTTCAAGACTAGCTTCAGCAGGTACTACACTGCTGTAGTATTCAGTGCAGGGGACTATTGTTTGAGGAAGGTAATTTCCTGCTTGATGATCTTCTAAGTGACTCCATGGTTCTTGTTACACATGCTTGCTCTGCTTGTG